TATAGGTCACATCCCATTGTAAGCCACTACGATTCCGAATGGAGGTAGAAAGCCTGTCGCATCCCTAAAAGCACCTGACTACTCTTCTCTGGAAACTCTTGAAACTTTTTCCACCAGTTTTTTGAACATCGCCAAATACTTTGTAGTCTCCTGAGAAAGTTCTAGACTCTTCACCGTGACGTTTCGTACCGAATGTGACTACCGTATAGGCTAGTGGGAGACACACAAGTTGTGGGCGGAAGCGTTAAAATAGAAAGATTTGTCAAGCAGCCCAGAGCACTGCAACCACCGGAAAAAATCGGTTTAAGGTCAGCGAAGGGTCACCAATTGAGGAATAGGCAATGAGCCAATTGAGATCGATAGAAAGGGATCAACCCTCAGTAGCTCGGTGGCTAACTTGCGAGTTGAGTCGGAAGAAAATGGACTGCTCGTTAGAGTAGTGTACTTCATGGTTCGTTGATGACTGCTACAATGATTGTCCATTGTCGGGATGCACCCTTTTCGAATCGTTCCACCAATTCCACGTTCATCATGGTAAAGTGTGATGGTACACAGCAATTTCAAACGATCTGCCACATTCCATGAAGCAATACCGTTAGAGTTTCATAACATTCGGCCGTAGATTCGTTTTTTTGTGCCAAAATTACAGCACAACCGATGGAAACCGGAACTTGCGGGCAATGTGCAACAGTTTGAACAAGTTTCAGAGTCTAAAGTTCTGTTCTCCAGAATCTGAAGTTGAATTTTCAGAGTTTAAAATTCTATTCTCCAGAATCTCAAGTTGAATAACCCTTGAATTCACAATCTTGAGGTAACATGTTTCGTTTTCACATCTGAAATGAATTTTTAATGGTTCAGGATAAAAACGCTGTTACCTCTCAGTGAGGTTGGATCGACTTTTCTCCCTCGAAGATACATCTGTAAAGAGGCGTGATGCTTTAGAAAAAAACGATCAGCAAACATGAATCTCCCAGCTGATTTTTGGTAGTGCCATGTAAGCCGGTATTAAAACAATCGCGGAACCATGATCTTGGCCGCAGATGCTATCCCAGGTACTTCAAGACTCGAATTTCTTTCTCTCAAAGAATGAGGCCGAAACATTGGGGAAAAAAGTGTGCAAAAGTGAACCACTGTGTTGACCATGAGTAGGCTATTGATTTAGTTCGTCAATTATTTGACAACTGTTACAGAAGTTATGGCCAGGCAACCGTTTGCGACGAAAAAACTGTCGCAAAGCGTCATTGATCAAAAATAGGGGCGGTTTTGCAAACAGAGACAGCAGATTGCGAAGGAATTGAAAATCACGTTCGAGACCCTTTAAAAGGTACAAGAGGATCAGAACCTTTACTTTGGCTCATACCAGAAGCCAGTATGCTATTCTACGTTCTCCTTGCCGTGATGCTTCTGAGCACCCTCCCTCAAGAAGCAGTTTCTGCTGACGTAAGCCTCACTGATTCAGTCCACTCATGAGAAAAAAGCCAGCAATCTCATTACTGCAGTGCAACCTGACTGCTTTTCAGGAGTGCAAAGATGTCGGCCCAGCTGGCTCGTGCAAAAGAAACAAGGAGAATGGTTGGTGCACATCAAAAGATTCCGCCAGGGTCTCTATTATGGAATATAGGTGCCGAAAGACATGCGGCTTCTGTTAGAGCCAGAACTCAAATAAACCTTTGTAGCGAAGTGTCATTTCAGCTTACAACATATAAATTTTTCCCACGAAACTTTCTATAGTATAACTTGAGTGGT